GCCTGCAAATGGGAATCGTCAGAATATCTCTAGTTGCTTCTTTTCGAAAGGAACCATCTCCTTCAAAGGGAGTCCAGGCTGCCTCGGTTTTCCGTGCTGGAGGGCTCAAGGAGTCAATCTGAATTGCGGCTGACATGCCTTCCACTCAGGTGCAGGAGGACCGGTCTCAGAGAACACAGGAACCTTGGCACACTTTCTTTGCCACTGCACATGGCCATGTGGGGAAGGCGAGGCATGCACAAAACGCGCGTAGCTAATTAATGCATCCTCAAGCAGTTCAACTGCAAGCCTGATCTCCACCCAAACTGTACCGGCTTGACCCCTCCACTCGGAACACCGAACCTCAGCTCAAATTTTACAAGAAGGCCGCCTCACGCTGCGAAGCTGGGCTTTTTCAACTCAAGATGAAGCTTGTGATGGCTAGGGGGCACGCTTGGCATTAATCACGGACGGTAGCTATGGCAATTAATTACGGCCAAGGAACGTCACTTGGGTTGCGAACACGAAAGCTGCCCGCCCCCTTGGCAAACACGAGTCTTCATGTCTTGGTTAGTCCGGTACAACACACTACGGAAGTTGACTCTCAGGGTTTAAAACGTCTTGCGCTATCCTGCGCTGATGCTTGCTGGTTAGTCTGTTTTGCCTTGGCAAGGGAGTTGATGTGCTGTTTTCAAAGGGCTGAAGGAATCATAATCTTCAGATGTCTGACTGGCTGACGCAAGCATGTTTAGAGCTGTTGTACTTCCACTAGCAATCACACAAGGAATCTAGAACCATGATATCGGCAATCATGCCTCCAAACCCCCATGTCCACATCATTGTCACTTTCATGTCCTATGTACCTGTCCAGGTAGTTCTCCCTCCACTGTTGAGGTACTATCTCTGTATACCCGCCACTCTAAACCTTAAACCCTTCTACCTAAACTCTAAACCCCATGACATTGGCAATTATCTAAACCAACCCTAAACCCTAAACCTTAAGCCGAAATCCTTCATGATGGTGGATGGGGCCTGGCTGTTAAACTCGCTGCCTTTGAAGCGGACCGCTTGCGCCACATCCTTCAAACATTGTAATGAGGGGTGTAGGGTTTGGAGTTGAGGGTTTAGGGCTTTTGGTTAGGAGTTAGGGTTTGCGGTTACCAAGAACCCTTTTTTACAGACTGCGGTGCCCGTTTTGACCTTGTCGTTCCCACCAATTCTCCCAACAGTGGCCCCCTCGTTCACTCCTGTAGACCCTAAACTCTTAGCCCTAAGCCCTATGAATCTTAAACCCTGAACCTTACACCTCGTAATCTCTGCCCTACACTCAGTGGCGCACTCAGTGGGTAGTTCCCCAAAGTAGAATCCCATTCTAGTACCCCTGAATATTTTTACGGCTGCCATGCGCATCCCAATGCTTTAACATGTCGTGCAAGAAGGCCTTTTCGGCGCGTGGGCGCAGTACCCCTGAATATTAGGTGCTGTAATATACACTATAACCAAAAGGAACCCAACAACCCACACCCTAACCCCCTAAACCCGAAACCTTAAATCCTAAACCCTAAACCCTAAATCCTAAATCCTAAAGCCTAACCTCAATAGGGTAAGCCCTAAAAGGCCGAGGTGTGGGTTTGCAGTCCGAAGCCCAGCAGGATTGCTAATGCTGGGATTCAGCAATTCCGGCCTAGGAATTGGGATTCCGGGTTTAGAGGATTTAGGGTTTGGGGTTTAGGATTCAGGGTTTAGAGGTTTAGGGCTGAGTGGGTTTAGGGTGTTTAAGGGGTTTAGGGCTTGGGTTTTTTCAGGGTTTCGGGTTTAGGGTTTTGGGTTTGAGGGATTAGGGTTCCAAGGTTAGCCCGTAGAATTTAATGGGTTAAGGGCTTAGGGTTTAGGTTGTAGATGCAAAAAAGGGTTTAGGTTGTCAGATCTGCTAGGAAATGCCATCTACCCCTCAAAGGTCTCCCTTGCGCGCCCCGAACTTCGAGGTTAAGGGTTACGCTTCCTATTCATTCTGCTTTCCTAGGCATGCAGCCAGCCCCAAGCTAAACCCTAGACCCTAAACTGCCGTCAGGCAACATCTTGCAGCGCTGTTCAAATGCGTTGCAGCTCTTGTTGGTTGAAGGTTAGCCTGTGACCGGCGGCTGGGAGTCGCAAGGATCTAGGGTTCAGGGTTCAAGGATCACGCGGGGTTCAGGGTTCAGGAATAATACAGGTATAGGGTTGAGGATCGGACCAGGGTTCCTGGCTTAGGGACTATTAGGGTTGAGGGGGCGGAGGGTTCAGGGGAGCAAGCTGCCAGTCATGTGCAACTGCAAATTACGTGTGCAATCCTTGCGAAACTGCTTCTGCTAATGGCAAAAGAACAAGTTCTCATCTCACTAGTTTGGGAACCCGGACCTGCCCAAAGTAGCACTCTATTGGTACCATAAAGGCTTACCAGAATCCTCATTTTCAAGCTCTCCCAAGTGAAGCCAAAGCCAGCACCAGATCTTGACGCAAGAGTCTCGACTCGATACTTGATTGTTTCTCACAGTTTGCGTCCGCCCCAACCCCTTTAAAAGCATAAAGGGCTAGATATAATCCAGTTCAGGGTATAGGGCTTCGAAAAAAATCAAAATCTGGTAGGTTGTCAACAAAAAACATGGCCCCCTTTTTGGGTGCCGTATATACTAATGGCCATGCTATTCTCGACAGCACGAAATCCTAAACCTAAAATGAGCTATAGTCTATAGTCCGAACTCCTTGAAGGAGGTTGTATAGGGAATTATATAAGGGACTATTATAGGGGTTATTAGGGGGATACTAGGAGTTTAGACCCTAGCTTCCCTAAACCCTAAACCCTTTATTATAGGGGTATGTGCCCCCAACTCTGCCTCCAACGATCTGGGCAAATGCGTGGGCAAATTCCACAACATCCCGCACAGAATGGCCAGAAGAAAGGCGGCCTCGCATTTTCGGGTTCAGGATTGAGGGTTTGGGGTCTAGGGTTTAGGGTTTGGGTTTTGAGTTGGAATGGAAAAGAAAATGGAAACTGCCATAATGGGTCGTATAGGGTTTGGGGTTTAGGGGGGCGTCCCAAAAACTAGGGGTTCCTTTTTGGGCACACCCTTCATTAGAAGCAATGCTGTTTTGGGGGCACAGAAATGATCCCTGATTTTGGCAAAAATGTGTCTTTGCTGGGTCTGTTAAGAAACGTTGTGATTCTCTTTCGTGACTGGATTAAAATTCAGCAAACTTGTCAGTGCTGCCGCCGACGCCGCCATCAGCGACTTCGCCTCCAACGCCTCCACCGCCACCTGAACAACCTAAACCCCGAGAATCCACTATACCCTTCAAATTCCCGATTTTTTTTTCTCGGACCTTTTTGTGTGGGTGGCTTCCCAAAAGAAGGCGACTCCAGCGTAGAGCCAAAAATGCTACAGTCGCTATTAAGGAGCCTTCGAAAAATGGACCCCAAATTGTTGGAAACCCCTAAATAAGCCTTCGGAGCGCTTTTAAAGGGGCTTCGGGACGACGCAGAGTTTGAGGCTTAGGGTTTAGGATTTGGGGCCTTACATTGCTTATGGGGATATACGGAATTTAGGGCCTAGGGTTTGGGATTTTGGGGCCTAGGGATTTCTCGATGATTGGGGGGTTGGGGCTGAGGGTTCCTAGGGTTGTGGCGTGTGAGGCGTCCCACTACTAGGTTACTAGGTTTAGTGTTTAGCAGGAATACGTCGAATAATTCCCATACTGAGTTTTTTATATGAAAGCTGCACGAATGATCGGACAATGCTTGGTCTAGGTTGTGGCGCGGGGTCAGGGTTTGTGGCTTGCAGCCAAAAACCTGAAGTAAAAAACTTTTATTGACCTCAACCCCCAACCTTCATAAACCTTAAACTCTAGACACAAATAACTTCACCTCAACCCCTCACACCTTAAAGTCTAAACTCGAAACCCGAAAGTCCAAAGCCCTACCCCAGAACCCAAAACCTTACCTGGAAGTTGGATGTCTTACCCTCTTGGGATCCTGTCCTAGATTATTGCGAGGACTTTCCAAACAAATAGGACACCCTAAACCCGGAAACATAAGCCCTCTGAACCCTGAACCCTCTAAACCCTCTAAACCCTAAACCCCGGAAAACCCTGGGCTAAACCCTCTGAACCTTAAACACTCAAGCCTAAACCCTCCGAACCCTAAGCCCCCTGAACCATCCAAACCCTAAACGTTGGAAATCCCTAAGCCCTCTGAAAAGCCTAAACCCTCCGAACCCTTTTTGCCCCCTAAACCCTCCAAACCCTAAACGTTGGAAAACCCTAAACCCTCTGAACCCTAAACCCTAAAGCCTACCCGCAGCGGCCGCAGCGAGCCCGCAGGCCGCATTCTCGGCATCGGCGAAGGCGACCGCCTCGTCGCGGAGGCCTCGGCGCAGCCAGGGAATTTGGGGGGGATTTGGGGGTTTCGATTTTAGGTCTTCGGGTTTAGGGTTGGGGGTGTGGATGAGTTGGAGAAGGGTGTACGGTGTGGGGGTTTACGGTTTAAACGGGTCTAGGGATCAGTGTACCAATGCAAAAAGCGTTGGAGGGAAAAGTGTTGAAGGTCGAGGGCCGAAGGTTTCGGGGCTCAGGCTACGCAGAACTGCAAAAACAATCTGAACATTGCATAGTTGTGAATCAGGCTACAGATAGGAGTTTCCCTGAATTAGGGGTCCCCTGTTGAGGTTCCCTACATCAAGGCAAGGATTATAGTACGTATTTGGCGCGCCGCTTTTTCTGGTTTGGACCCGAAGGCACAACCCCCAACCCCCAAATTGTGTGAATCCTCAAGCCTCAGAACCCAGCCCAATGCTGCACTACAAGTATAACGCAAGCTTGTTTTGCATTTTGGCGATAGTCCCGCGGCTTTGGGGTCAGAACATCTACCAGCTAGTGCTGGAGGCCTAAGAGGAGTGCCATGGCCCTGGCGCTTGCAAGCCGCAAGGAAGCCGCTGCCTCCGGGCCCCGACCAGGGAGGCTGTTGGGGATGTAGAGTGCCCCCTACCTCACGAAGCCGGGACACCCCTCCTCCCTTGCCGGCCTGGCGGCGAAGGGCGCTGCGAGGCGTTAACCCTCGTCAGCTGCATCGCTGTCTCCACCGCATTGGCATCGACTCCGAAGCTGAGCCAGCCGGTGCAGGGACTTTCGGGACGTGAGATGTCAAAGCTGCCTTTCCCACAGAGCAGCTCCAGCAAGATGACGCCGGTAGCGAAGGAGTCGTACGCGGAGCTCGGCGCGGTGGCGTCGAAGCATCTGCCAATAAATTCGGGGGCCGAGTAGCCCTTCGTGGAAAGGCAGGGGTCGTGCTTTTTGGGCCACACTTGCATTGCCCCGAAGTCGATGAGCTTCGCCTGCCGGCTTTTAGATTCAGGAGTTGACCTCCGAGCCCTCCTCCGCCCCCCTTCATTTCCAAAGCTGTGCTGGTAGCTTGTAATTCTGACTCAGTAAAAAAAATTGTTGATTTGTTGGGAAGCACATTACCCGAGACATTTGTCACATCTTTGCCTCGCCGGCACCGGTCACGCAAACGTTGTCGGGCTTCAGGTCATGGTGGATCAGGTTCTGCCGGCTGAGGAAGTCTACAGCCTCCAGAATGCCCTCGACCACGTGCTTTCGCCAGGACCAGGGCTGCCCCTGGCACTGCAAGGATCCGCTGGATGTCGAGGCACTCCTGCGCCGCCTGCTCCGTTTCTCTCTCGGCGTCTGGTGTCCTGCCCGTCACGTACTTGTACTCGCTGAAGAGTTGGTAGAAGAAAAGCTTGAGCACAACGTATACTCTTTGCGCTCGTGGTCGTAGGCTTTCCAAGCGTCCCCGAAGCTACCCATGCCGAGGTCTTCTGGGCCTTGGAAGGTCACGCTCCGGAACAAACTGTTGCCGTAGGTTGCCAACCTACCTACGTTCGGGAAGTCCTTGCCAGGGACGGGTTCACCACCCTCACCGTGGGCCTCTTTCTGCTCCCCTTGCACCGCCTTGGAGGCAGAGCCTAGGCGCTCGATCAGCACGAAGCGGTTGCGAAGCTGCTGCCCGGCCGCAAGCTGCTGGCCCCCAGTGCCATGCACGTTCTCGGTTGCGGCACCGCCGACGGTGATGCGCGCCGCGCTTGCCCAAGGCGCGCACGCCAAGACTGCCAGCACGGCAGGGAGTGACAGCCGCGGCATGGTGGGTGTCATGCGAACGCGTGAGAAAAAACAATTAGCATACAACTGCTGCGGAAGGTCTTCCAGTCATCGAATTCGTTTGTGAAGCATCTTGCGCCAACAACCTAAGCCTCTGAACTTCAAGCGGCCGGCCTTGATCTGCCCATGGGCACGGAGTTTGCAGCTGCGGCGCCCACCTTGTCTCAAGCTTCTCTGGTTCAACAGGGCAAGCGGGCTTGTCAAAAGGTCGTCTTGGTTCAGGGAATGGTGAAGGATAGGGCATTCAAGGATTAAATGAAGGGGGCTTGGCTGCTAGGCTTCACCTGGGACTGTGGGCTCAGTTATGCCCGCCGGGATTTCGGACTTTTTGGCTTGGATGTCTCGGGCCTGTTGTGCTGAGGCGCTGAAGTCTTGCTTGAGGTTTCCAGTTTATAGTTGGGTATGGGTGGCATGGTCACGTGCATGGCACAGCTGCTCGGGTATGAGGTTTTCGGCTGCACCTTTAGGATTCATGGGGGTGGGGTCAGAAGCACTGATGTGACTTTTGCTTAGAGCCTCGCCCCTGGAGCCCTCAACCTGTCCCCCAGCTTCTTCAATGCGCTCACGAGCTAGTCCTTCAGCTGTCAAAGCCAAAGGCCCCATGCAGCATCCCCCCAGCCCATGCTATTCTGATGTGATTTGTATCACTGCAAGCTGCAACCGCGTTTAAGCGAAATCCGAGCAGAACCTGGCACGAGCCAGACTTTGGACAGCCCCTCGCCTAAATCCCAAGTCAGTAGTAGACTTTCAGGTCAGGAGCTTCCTGGATCCCAGCGAACCCCTCAAACCTCAGGCGGCGAAATCCCAACTGCAATTGCAACACGTATTTGAGGCGGCTGCTTCCAAAGATCTTCATACCAGCAACTCCACATATTGAGTAATTACTTTCATCCTTTGCCCCACCGCATGGATTCTGCAAACCTTCCTTGCCGTGACTGGTACGTGTAGAATGGCTTGCCCCGCTGCCCGAAATGCCGGAAAAGAACCTGCATCTGGCTTTCAGGCAACAAGCAGATTGCCGGAATGACTTTCGCTGTCATACAGTGTATATCCGTGCTTCAACTCGGCTACGGCCATTTCCAAGCTGCTGCAAATGCCAAAGCTACCTCACACCCTGAAGCCCAAAGAACCCCCACACAGCCCTCGCCTCAGGGGCTCAAGTCGAAGCCGCAGCCTGGATGGAAGGGCTAAGGGATGAAAAATACAACTGGCAGAGTTGCTTCTGGTTGGGTCTTTGTTGGCGTTCAGGAGTTCTTTGGGAGTTGGGCTTCAGCTTGCAAGGGCTGGGCTTTCTTCAAGAGTTTGGGGCTCAGGTGTTTTTGGAATTGGGCGCTTGCAGGCTCGGATGGTTCGTTTTTCGTTCTGCATAGCCCAGCTCTGACATTGCCCCTCTTTTTTGAGACGGCCTTCTTGGTCACTTCAGGAGCCCAGCATGGAGTCCCTAAAGATTGGGAATGCGCTGCGTATAGGTGCTTGAGCTGAGCACTTCGGCTTCCCAAGTGGCTTGTAGATCCCGGAGTGGGATAAGGGACCAGTATCCGAGCTTTCCAGGGAAGGTTTCGCAAGTGTTTGAACCCGATCTCTTCATTTTGGGCGGGGTGTTAGGGTGCTCAGTGGGTCTTTTATGCGCAAGCAAATACGAGCACAAACCAAAGTAGGGAAAGATGCACCTAAACTGAAGTTCTGCACCATCCAAGTGATAGTGTTGTTCTTGAAGCCTGTCACTTCATGCGACCCTTTCACTTCAGCCCTGCCCAGCCTGCCTGATAAGCCCACCAAAGTAGTCGTTGAAACGGACTCCTGCGCCAACGACAGCCCGGACCTGACATGACCGTGCTGGCGTGCAAACTGTCCTGCAATGGTTCTTTCTCTGGGCAACGCGATTTTAACTAGGCATTGTATCCCCTACAAATAGAATTCACCTTCCTAAGGTCTCCAAATTTTTGCAATATTTTAGGACATCTGCAGCAAAGCCAAGCTGACTTCAGGTTTCGCTGCGCCCCGGACTCGGAGGTCATCCAAAGCTGCTCCGAACCACTCTTCCAACCTGCGCCCGTCGGCCACCATGTCTGACCCTGGCTCGATTGGCAACAAGCTCTCCAGTCAGGGCAGTCCCTATTTCTTAGTAAGGATAATGAATGAATTCAAAATGACTCGATAGCGTTAGATTATCTGAAATAATATTCTTCAGAAAAGCTGGTATTATCGAACCGCCACCCTTTCACAATGAGAATATGACGTGAAAGATGGAAGACTATTCGATAACACCAGAAAAATCTGACCCGAGCATCGTGCCCAAGACTTTGGGGCCTTGTTGGTCACGGGGCAATGCCCCTTCACCGAGTCACCACCGACCGGCTGAAAGGAACAGGTCCGTGAACGACGGTAACGTGAGAATCAGAAGCTATTGAAACTACCATCATCACAACACGGACTGTAAATGAGGAAACCATAAAAAAGAAAGCTTCGCAAACAACCATCCACCGAAAATCCTTCTGCAATCAGCCTGTTTAGATCATTGCAAGGCTCATTTGTCATACGCTGCCACATGGCATCACCTCATATTTTTGCATGGTATACATGGCCAACAAATGCAATGGTTGAAGGCCGCCAATGTTCGCAGGTTCCTCGCCGGCTGCGTTCCAAAATCTTGGCACGATGTAGGTGCACGGCGTGCACTTCTTGGAGTGCGGCGTGAGCTGCAGCCACTGCTGCCGTACGCCCGGCGGATTTGGGTCACACGCAGCTCCTACACGTGTCAACGCCAATGGCACTCCCCATGCCAATTCCCAAGGTGAGGGAAAGGAACAGGGCTATCCCTTGATGTTTGGTTTGAATGCACTGTGGCCCGTGGATCTAGCTTGCTCGCGATCTTGAGCACACTTGCAAAGGCGTCTGTGCCAGCGCGCGTGCTTCGGCCGAGCTGGTATGGCAGACAGGCTTGTTGAAGCTGGGTCGCATGTCTGGGCTAAGACCCGGCCAGTGGGGCGCCTAACGACATCTCCGACGGCAAGCCGCTTGCGTCATTGCAGCCCGGAGCCGAGCTGGCACTGCACGCGCCTTCGCGGCCGCCAACCGCCAGAGGAAATCTGCCATCATGAGCACCGAAGCGGCCTCCCACCTCCAGGGCCAACACGACCAGCCTGCAACGGCGGGCAGCCACGCGCTCGGGGTACGTGGTCTGGCGCTTACGCCGGCCTGCGTCCGCAGCGGCCTTGCCAGGAACAAGATCCGCGCCCGCTCGTGCGGAGCCAAAAAGCGCCCTGAGCTTGTTGCTTCCCTGCGGTGCCATTTCACCGTCCTTGGCATCGAAATCGGTGGCCGGTGGAGTTCCGAAGCAGCCACCTTCGTTCGCCTGCTCGCACGCTGCCGCGCTCGGGGGGTGCCGGCCTTTTCTCGCGCAGCGTGCACCTCCGTCCTCGCACTTCGCTGGTCGGCCATCTTGCCCATCACAGCCGCACGTGCGTTTGCCGCCGGCCTCCTTGGGCCTTCCCTGGCCGGCACTGGCAATGTTGATGGCAACCTGCCTCTCATCAGCGATCTCTTCGCGGATTCGTCTGAAGTCCCTCCTCTCGCCAGCTGCATGCCCTGATGGGCCTTGCCGGTGGATTTGTGGATTTCGGCCGCCTCCGTGTTGCTCACTCCGCCCGTGAGCTGTCCGCATTGGGACCGCGGTTACTGTTTGCAAAAAAGTCCGTTGAAAAAAAATCCATCCCGAGACACCGGGCTGACGAAGGTTGTGTCAACGGCGGCTTGCGCCCCTTGCCACCGCGGCAAGCCGCTGGCCAGCACTTCAATGCGGCGAGGGTCCGCCAGCGGAACATCAATGTTCATGTCGCGTAGGACAAAATTTGCAGTTGCGTCCAATCAAGCCGTGGCGGCCCTCTGCCATCCTCGCAATGGGTTCCGCACCGCCACCGTGCCCACGCAGCGCAAGATGCAGGCCTCCCCTGTCGTGGCAACCCTGCCTGGTGCGGCATTCTTGCAACAAACCCGGGATGTCGGCCCCATAGTGTCCGCCCGAGAATTGGCGCACATCATTGGCCAATAAACCGCGCAAAGCAATTTAGGACCGCCTCGTCATGCTGGCGGCCAAAAGCCGCCGTGGCCGCAAAAATGTGCACTTCAGATCCCGCATGCTGGGCTGATGGGTATGACGCTGCGTGGTTTCATTGGCCACCTCAAACCTCACACGCATCAGCAACCCTGAACGCATGAGCAACACACTCAATGTTGCGCAAAATGTCACGGGTGCGATTCACATTTGGATTTGTGCTGGATAGGGCGTGCAGGGTAAAGGGACCAAAGAGGAGGTTGAGAACTACCAGGGCAGACGCGATTGGCAATGCGCAAGGCAAACAATGATCGCATGTTCGAGTCCGCGGGGGAAAATTAAGTTGTTGAGGCTCACACGCGCTCCGACCCAAAGACAAGGGCAAGCTTGGGGGCTCAACGCCCCAGGAATTCCACACGCGATCTCTCTGCGTTGAGACGAATGTGAGCATGCCGTGTTCCAGCGCGCTGGACAAGTAGATGTCATCGGAATGCCGGAATGCCCGAGTACTAGCAACCAGCTGGGTTTCTTCGGCCTGGAGGGCACGCAGGGCCGGGGCGAGGCCAACGGCAAACAACGCAGGCATGAGTAGATCAACCTGTTCGCCTCCCGCGGCCTGACGAAGGCTGTGGTGAGGGCTAGCATCATCGGAGGCGCATACGTAGAAGAATCCAGCGAAAGGAAGGATGCTGCAGGCCTCGGGCGCATGGCGAGGGGCCTCGGGCATTGCGGCATAGCTGATGAGGGCGAAGGCGCCGATGCTCGACAGAGCGGACGGTGAGGGTAGGATCCCGGTCGCACTACAGACGCGGCTTGCTGCGGGGTCATCGAGCAGGAGGCGAACGATCCCCGCAGTATGGCTGGAGGTCCTGCAGTTCCGTGAGTGTGGCGTCGTCGCTTGGCGCGTCGGCTCGCCAGCAAGACCTGGCGGCCGGCGGAC